GAAGTTCTGGTAGAATTCCGCATTGAAACCATCTGGTCCTGGGCTTTTTTTGGTAGGGAGGTTTTTGATAACAGCTTCTAATTCTTTGCAACTAACAGGTCTATTTAGATTGTTCACCTGGTTCTGGTTTAACTTTGGTATATGGTATTTATCTAAAAAAGTGTCCATTTCTTTTACATTTTCCAGTTTTGTGGCATACAGGCTTTTGTAGTAAGATCTTAGATTGAAGTCAACTTTGTTAGAAATTAGTATGCCCACACCTGCTTGTTTCTTAGGTCCATTTGCTTGATAAGCCTTTTCCCAGCCCTTTACTCTGAGTAGGTGCCTGTCTTTGTGGTTGAGGTGTGTTTCTTGTAAACAGCAGAATGTTAGATCCTGTTTTCGAATCCAATCTCTTAGCCTGTGCCTTTTTGTTTTGTTTTGTTTTGTTTTGAGACAGGGTTTCTCTGTGGCTTTGGAGCCTATCCTGGAACTAGCTCTGTAGACCAGGCTGGTCTCAAACTCACAGAGATCCGCCTGCCTCTGCCTCCTGAGTGCTGGGATTAAAGGCGTGCGCCACCATTGCCTGGCAGCCTGTGCCTTTTTATAGGTGAGTTGAGTCCATTGACATTAAGTGATATTAATGACCAGTGGCTGTTAACGCCGGCTCCGGTCATTGGTGGTGGAGTTTGTGTGTTTCCCTTCTTCGAGTTGTGCTGGTGAAGGGTCTCTAGATGTCTGAGTTATTGTGGGCATTGTTGGACTCCTTGGTTTGTGATTTTCCTTCTATTACTTTCTGTAAGGCTGGATTTGTGGCTACGTATTGTTTAAATTTGTTTTTATCCTGGAAATTTTTGTTTTCTCCATTTATAGTGAACAAAAGCTTGGCTGGGTATAGTAGTCTGGGCTTGCATCTATGGTCTCTTAGTTTCTGCAGTACATTTATCCAGGATCTTCTGGCTTTCATGGTTCCCATAGAGAAATCACGTGTAAGTCTGATAGGTTTACCTTTGTAAGTAACTTGACCTTTTTCCTTCGCAGCTCTTTATATTCTTTCTTTATTCTGTATGCTTTGTGTTTTGATTATTATATGGCGAGGGGATGTTTTTCTTTGATCCAGTCTATTCGGTGTTCTGTATGCTTCTTGAACCTTCATAGGTATATCTTTTTTTAGGTTGGGAAAGTTTTCTTCTATAATTTTATTAAATATATTTTCTGGACTGTTGAGCTGCACTTCTTCTCCTTCTTCTACTCCTATTATTCTTAGGTTTGGTCTTTTTATTGTGTCCCAAATTTCCTGAATGTTTTGTGAGAGAGTTTGTTGGATTTGCTGTTTTCTTTGATCAGTGCGTTTATTTTCTCTATGGTATCTTCAGAATCTGAGATTCTTTCTTCTATCTCTTGTATTCGGTTGGTTATGCTTGTTTTAAAAAACATTTATTATCTTGCAAAGGGCTCTTGGAACTTGCATATCAGCACAAGAGTTTGTAGGACATTCAAAATCTTATCAAGAGTCTCCAGAAATCTCCACATCTTCCCAAGAGGAATTTTTTTTAGCTCAAGAGGCTTAAGCACATTCATCATCTACTCCACGAGATTGTGGACTTTCTCAATCTTTAAAAGATAATTTAGGAACATTGCTATCTACACAAGGTGCTAGAAAAACACCATCATCTGCCCAAGGGTCTATAGTAACTGCACCATCAGCTCAAAGTGTTGTAGGAATTCAGACTTCTTTGGAACATCCTCTGGGTACTTCCCAGTTTGCTTTAGAGACGTCAGAACCTTTGCCATCTTCTGAAGAGGTTTATAGTACTTTAAAATCTATCTCAAGGTCTCTAAAACTTTGACATCAATCCTAGAGACACTGAGACTTTCAACATCTGCCAAAGGTGCAGTGGGCCCCTCCATAAGTGACCAAGTGATATTGAGATCACCAACAGTTTCCCACAAAGCTCTGGAATTTCTCCATCTGACCAATGGTTTGTGAAGTCTTCCTCATCTTAAATGGGGCCTATTAGACCTTCACTAATAGATAAAGGTTTACAGGAAATGTCTTCGGTTGAAAACGCGACTTTACAAGATTCACCACTGCAGAAAATCTATTCGGGAAATCCATTGTCTACTCAAGGAGCTCTAGGACTGTCCATATCAACCCAAGAATCTCTTGGACATTCACCATCTGCTCTAGGGTCTCCAGATACTTCCCTGTCATCTGAAGAGGCTTCAGTCACTTGTTTAGACCAAGGGCCTTTATTTAAGACAGTCATTATCATTATCTGATCTAGGAGATCTTGGACTATCTGTATCTTCATAGGGGACACTAGAAACAGCACCATCTACACATAGCACTCTAGAAATACCATCTACCCATGGGATTATAGAAACTTCACCACCTGCTCAAGACTCTCTAGGGAATCTGCCTTCTTTGCTGCAGATTCTACAACAGTATCCCCTTATGCCAGAGACATCAAAACCTCTGTCATCCACCAAAAAGGCTTGTAATACATCAGACTCTTTCCTAGGAACTTCAGAAACTTTTTCATCTACCCCAGGATCTCTGGGAATCTCCTTCTCTTTCCAAAATACTATGGGATCTCTCCCGTGTCTGAAAAAGAAAATTTAGGACCATCAGTATCTCCTGAAGAACCCTGGGACCTTCTCCTCCTGAACAAGGGTCTCTGAGACTGGGTCGCTCTCCCCCTCAGAACAAGGTTGTCAGGAAATATTTTCAGGTGTACAAGGAAATTCACAGCAAGGCTATGCAGGAAATTCATTACATTCACAAGAGGCTCTGGGACTGTCCAGATCATGCCCTGGGGAGTCAGACTAGGAAAGCTGTACCCACCTTTGCACCAGCCAGCATAGCCAGAGCATACCGTGCAGCGGGGAATCAGGATACAGAAGAAACAACCCACTTTTTATGGCTGGCATATGCAAGTTCTCACGGACCCTGTGGAGCCAGTACAGGTTTCCTGAGCTTTCTTCTTCCATACCTGGTGTTCAAAGGGTTATACCATACCTGGAGATGTGGGACAGGGGATTTGCTTCCATGGCTGGCCTCCACAGGGCTGGATAGAACCAGGGAAGCCAGGCCAGGTAAATGCCACAACCCTGTCCATATCTGGCCTTCCCAGGACAGGGCCAGTTCTGGGGTGGCAGGCAGATGATTCTGCATTCCCACTTCCATGGTTGGCCTAACTTGGGCCAGTGATACCCTGGCCTTGGGATACTGGTACACACTGGCCTCAGCCTGTCTCCCCAGGGCCTGCCCTAATCTATGGAAGCAAGCTGTGGAAGAAGGGGGGGCACAACTTCTCCATTCTGGATCCCCAGGACTTTTCTGGCCATGCAGAGACCAGATATGGAGGAGAATGGTGCATCTTCCTCAGCTTGGCTCCCCAAGAACTGTCAGGCTCAGCCATAGAGGAGGGGGTGCGCAACAACCCTGGCCTGACTCTCCAGGCCCCGCCTCATCCTCTGGAGGCCAAACGTGGAAGAGGGCTAAGCATTTTCCCCAGTCTGACTTCCCAGGGCCTATCCTGTCCTGGAAAGGTCAGCCATCAACGATGGGGCACACTTTCCCTGGCCTGGCAGGCTCTGGTCAAGCTACCTGTGGAAGAGGTGGTGTAGATTCCCTGGATCACCAAGACTTGTCTGGTCCAGCAGAGGCCAGCTGTGGATCCCAGCCTGCTCTCTGGGACCTGTTCATCCCTTCCCTGGCCTGGCAGACCCTTTGAAGGCTAGCTGTGGAAGAGGGGTGGCACCTTCCATGGACTTGCCAGTTCAGGTGAGGCCAATGATAGAGAGGGGGCACAAGCCAGCCATAGAAGATTGGGCAGTTTCCTGTCTGACACCCCAAGGCTGTCCAACCCAGGGGAGGCTAGTAATGGAAGTGAAGGCATAGCTTTCCACGCATGGCTCCCTAGTGCCTGGCCTGTCTAGGAGAGGCCAGTTGTGGAAGATTGGGGTGCAGATTCCCTGACTTTGGTCCCCAGGGTTTGTGTGACCCTGTGAAGGACAGCTGGAGAAGAGTGGGGTGCAGCTTCCCTACTTATCTCTTCATAGTCTGTCTGTTCCTGGGGAGACAGGACATGAAAGAATGGGTACCCTTTCTCCAGGCAGGTAGGACTCTGGAAGGTTGGCCTTGGAATATTGTATGCAGCTTGCATAGACTTGCAGGCCCTGTTGAGGCCAGTCATAAAAGCGGGAGCAGAGATACTTTGGCCTGGCACCCCAGGGCATGGTTGGTCCACGGGAGGTTAGCCTTGTGGGAGGGTTTGCTGGCTCTCCAAAGCCTGTCTGGCACTATGGAGGCCAGCCGCAGAGGAGGAGGGCACCACTTCTTAGGAGTGGCCCGCCAAGGCCTAACCAAACCTGTGGAAGCCATTTATAGAAGAGAGGTATGCAGTTTCCCTGGATTCCCCAGAGCCTATCTGGATTTGTGTAGGCCAGACATAGAAGAGGGGTGATTCACAAGCCTGGAATCACAGCACAAGGTTGACCCTGGGGAGTCCATAGGAAAAGCCATACCCTGGGTTGCCAAGCCAAGGAAGCATCTCTCCCTATTCCCTGGTTGTCCTCCCCAGAACCAGCCATGACTGAGGGATTCAGGCTGAAGAAACTTCACACCCTTCTTCCACGGAAACAACCACTTAGAAAACCATACATTAATTCAAACACTGCTTGGCCCATTAGCTCTAGCTTCTTGTTGGCTAATTCTTACATCTTAATTTAACCCATTTCTATTCATCTGTATATCACCCCAAGGTTGTGGCCTACCATCCAAGTTTCAGCATGTCTATCTCTGGCAGTGGCTCCATGGCATCTCTCTCTGACTCTCCCTTCCTCGTCCCATGCTATAGGCGAAGCCAGTTCTTTATTCATTGACCAATAAAAGCAACACATAGATAGAAGGACCTCCCACACCAGGCCGCTAACATTAAACATACCTAGAACCCAGGCTTTGTGCTCTGCAGACCTCCCAAGGTGTTAATCACCACCAAGTACAACTCACACAACAGAATTTAGCCTTTTATTTAGTTATATTAATTTATCCCAACAGCTTCAGCTACTGACAATGCTAATCACAGAATTCATTTCAGAATAGAGATCTTTTTAAAATGTTTGCTCTTCAACCGTTACTGCCCTTTGCAAGGTTATCATCTGAAAGCTCCATCCCTGCCTCAACATGTTAGGAGAATTAATTTTAAATACAGACAGGTCTGAAGTAAGAAGATGGTGGGTAAAATTTCTTCCATACTCGGGAATAGGTCTACCCAGTGCTATTCAGTAATAAAGTCTGTGATGGTGGGATATTTTATAACTGTTCTCAGTTTAGTAACCACTAGCCACAGCTGGCTACTGAACTCTTGAAATGTAGCCGGCACAATCAAGGAACAGTTGGAAAATTTCCTGAATTGTTCAGAATTTCCATCAAAATGGCCACAGTGGGTTTGTGGCATCATATTGGATAGTGTTAGTTAGTATAGAGCAGTTCTAAGGTTGGAGAAACACAGTGGGCATTGACTTGGAAGAAATACATACGTGTTGGGTATTTTAGAAATGCAAACTTCTTTCCTAATTCTTATTTAAAACAACTGTTCAAAGACAGTCAAAAGGTCAAAGGCATCTTTAATATGAAATTTTAAGTTTGCCATATACAGAGCTAATTACATCCAGAGAGAAATGGGCAAGAATGTTTTTCTATTTTTTTTTCTCCACAGCATCCTAACTCACTCAGCAACACTTGAGGCTACACCTTGGTTCTGCTCTGGCTGAGGTGGATATCACTCAACCATGAGCATTCAACAGGAATCCACATTTAAGGGGTCCTTGGCATACATTGTTGGTTCATAGATGGCCCCGCCAAGCCTCAAGAATATTCAATAGCCACATCCATTTTGCCTTGTAAAGATTTTGGCTGGAGTGGTGGCATTTCCATTCAAGGGAGGGTTTTCCTTTTTCAAAGCTTGCTATTTCTCATCGAGCCAGCACAGCTCTCCTACCAGGGCGTCAAGGGAGTTTATCTACCATGATACCTTTGTTCATGAGAATGCTCAGCTGTGTTGATCCTTCCAGCACTGGTGACTGAGAAAGACTACACTGTGAGGAAATCTGGTTGTGCACGGCTGAGCTAGAGAAGGCTAGAGCAGGTGAATGGAGGTAGAGAGTTTCAAGGGGGCTATCCTGAAGATGAAAAACTCTTACCTAGCTCTGTTGACTCTTCATGGGCCAACCTGAGCTGGAAAGTCAGGACAAATCTCTTTCCAGACTTCTTCCCAGCCCCACCCCATTCCTCTCCATTCCCTTCTGCTTCCTCTTGAGCTAGAGCTCAATAAATGAGAAAATATATGCTAGTAAGCCTAATTAAATGGGTTGGAGCATAGACCATTAAACACCCTTCACTCTAACTTTCACACTTGACCACATACACCACACCATCCAAGTAAAGGCTACTTGGGGTCAGATAAAGTTATCTACTGCATTTGATGTCTCCTGGAAGATCTGTCAGACAATGTCTATGCCTCTTCCACAGTCAGGGATAAAAGCAAATGTTAAATGCTTGGTAGGTCAAGAAAGGACTCTCCTGTATTTCATGATGAACATTTCTGAAGATGAATACAATGACTCCATTGCTTTTCTTCTATAAATACAGCTATCAATCAATGACATGAGGCACATGGATATATATATATATATATATATATATCATTTTCTTCTCTCCTATACCGGCAGTCTGGGCACAATGGGCGGCTCAGAACACACAGGAGCAGAAATGTGAAGCTGATCATTTGCTTTGCTCTCCGTCACTGTTACTCATCGTTCATCCACAGGGTGGACCTGGTCGAATCGCCACAGCTGGCTGCTTTTACCATCACACTGACTCAAGTGTAGATCCTTACTGTCTCCTTGAGCCCCAGCTTCCATGCATCTCCCAGAAAGGATGTGAATGATCGTTCCATCCTGAAAAGAGAAGGAAGGAGACAATTCCTGCCAAAGTCAGCAAAGGAAGACATTTTTAAGATTTCTTCTGAGCAATAAAAGACTGGTGGAGGTGGTATGTACTAGCCTGGAATGAGTGGCAGGATTTTAATTAATAGAAAACATAATTTAAATATTTCTAAAATTTAGATGTCTTTCGAGTCTAAGGGATCCTGATCCCAATTATATTGCTGTTAAATGATTGTGTGCTGTAGGAAGTGGTAACCCGCCCACTGGGGTGTGGCCTCTTATACTATATATGCTGATGCAGAGCATGCGTCTACTCTCTTTCTGGCCTCTCCCTCTGTTCCAGTTGTGGATTTCAGTTTCTGATCTTTGATCAAGCGGAGGATTCTGATTCATGAGTTTACCCCTGAGTAAACAGCCATCTATTTCTCAGTTCTGAGCTAGTGTGGGCTTCCTTTTAGGTGACCGTCCTCAATGTGTCATTTCTTAGAAAGTTCTGGTCAGAGTGACTCTGGTTAGGGTGTGTTCAGTCTTTGTGCTGTCTGGTCAGCACTGTTATCACTACATTCACAAACGGCTGCTATCAGAGCGATTTCCTCATTAGTGCTATCTTCTGCTAATCCTGCAATCTGAAATTGTGGCCACTAGGTTGCAGTAAAGAGTAAAACTGAGGCTATCCTGAAGGTCTACTTAGACCATCCATGTGAAAGGGATGGCTCTACGCCAACAGAATCAATATTGACCATAGCATCCTCTTTTCAAGAAAATTAGATTTCTTTACAAACTTAAACAGCTTTAGCCATAATGTTACAAATTCTTGCTCATTGTTGAAATTTTCCAAAAGATAGACTGTAATTGTCCTTATTATTTTCCAGAATATTTCCATCACTGCCAAAGACACCACTGCCCATTAGCAGTCATTTGCCCTTCCCAGCTCCCACTAGCGACTGAGAATTACTGGTCTCCTTTCTGTGGTTATGCATTCACCTAAACTGTTGGGACACACACAGAGGTGAGCCTGTTCCACCTTGTCTGAAGGTCAGCGTGTCTGAGCTTATTTTTGCTCTTTCAAATTGTTGACAACAGGTGTGGCTACAAAACAAGATATCCTGATCTAGGGTATGGTTACTTGGTGTTTAGGACATTAAGATGGCCCATAGAGGTGGATCCACTCCACCCTAACCAAGGGTCAGAGAATTCTAGCACACTCCTGTGCTCCTTCATTTAAAATAGGAGGTTTGACAGCCTCACAGTGATACACAGATTAATAGAAACAGATTAATTTAAGATGTAAGAGCTAGGTAAGAATACTCTTGAACCATTTGCCAAACAGTGTTATAATTATCATTTGTGTGATTATTCATGTGTTGGTCTCTGGGAAATAAAGAGCAGTCTCCGTTTAAACTTACATCCCTCTCTTTTCTCTCTGTTGGTGTATATCCTCTGGGAAGGTTCTAGAACTTCCTTACTGGAAATATAGGAGTAAAAAACTTCAAGAAATGATGAAATGCTCACAATTGGATATTCATTATAATGAAGAAAATGACAGACTCATATTTATATGTTAATACTTGGAAAATATTGATTTATTTTCATTTTGTGTGTATAGATACCTGAGTGCTAGCAAGTACACCACTCGCATACTGTGCCAGCAGAGGCCATCAGGTCATCTTGAACTGGAGACTGGTTATTTGCCCCACAAGTGGGGTGCTAGGAATTGAACCCCGTACTCTGGAAGAGCAGCCAGCCCTCTTAAGCTCCAGCTCCAACAGCTACATATTTACATATCAATACCTACTTCTTTTCAGTTTTGCTCTGCATCACTCCCCAGTCCACACCACTGAGTGGTTGTTTCTGTAACATGCTTCTCCATCCTACCTGTGATCCAAGCTAATAGCCTGTAATAGCCAAGGACAAGTTAGTACATCTCTTGAGGCTGGGTTGGTTTTTACTTTCACCAGAAACTCCAATGTCAAGCCACTAAGCTCAACAACAGGAGTGTGTCATGAAGAGTACCTGGTGTCTCGGAAGAGCCCAGGCTGCCATGCTAAGAGGGTCTGGTGCTTGGAAGTTCCCTGTGATCAACTGGTATTTCCGGAATGGATTAATTACCTCCTGAAAGTCCCAATGCTGTTGATGAATGGCAGGGCCTTCCTCCACGCAGTTCTGCAGAATCACCTGTTCTTGTCTGACATCGAAGCACAGCTGCTGTGGGCTGCCGAAGAGAATCTCCTTCCTGCTGGTGTGCTCCAGGTTCTGGGACAGAGGAGATGGCAGTTAGCAAAGCCCAAAAGACACCTTCTCCAGAGCCATGAGGAGACAAAGGAACACACGGCAGGACTATGTTCTTCAGATTTGACAGGGGAAGCCAGCAAGGCTCTTCCTGGGTTCTGAAGCCCCAGTACCTTGGCCTTTCTCACATTCCTAATTCCACATCCTGGCATGCTTCTATGGTGTTCATTCTGCTCCCCGTGTGCAGATAAGGTCATTTAAAAGGCTGCAAGTGCTGGGTGCACACTGCTGGAAGGGCAGACGATGGAGCTCTCTGAGGCCTAGGTAGATTTCCTTCTAGGGACACCTTCCCTGCCCCTGACTAATTCCACTGCTTTCACTGTGGTGTCTGCAGACTCTTGGTCATGGTTCCCATTGCTTATATCATGGTTCCCATTGTCTCCATCATGGTTCCCAGGGCCTCCAGAGTTTTATAGAGCTAGACTGTGTGGACCTTTACAGAGGGTCTTTAACTGTGAGGCTCCTGTGCTTACCAATTGGATGCTATGTTTTGGCAAATCGATCCCTCTTCTGTTCATTATTGCCTGATGTAGCCTAAACTGATTTTTATGTTAACTGTGTACTCTGAGCCAGCACCCTGCACAGTCACATGAGCCCTGTGCTCAGACAGTTTTCATGCTCTTGGTTCAATCTATGCACTGCTGCCACTGTCTTGAAATCCTTAATAACTGTTGAATGAGAGACATCACATCTTCCATTTGCACCAGGCCCTGCTAATTTGCCAATTAAATACAGTGGTGTGCCCTGCTTAAATATTCTCAAATTGTAAAGTTAGCATAAGTTTAAGAAAGGGGGTAGGAAGGGAGGGGAGCAGAGAAAAATAAATAGTTCAATAAAAACAATTAAAAAAACATTTGAACCCCAAGCATATCCCACAAACTTGTAGGCAATTCTCAAGGGAGAGTAATGTTTTTTCCTACTCAAAATCCCATCAGTAGTGACAGATGACTTCCTTGTTTTCTTGTGGTCATAGGAGAGATATTTTTAGTGCAGCTTTGCAGGGACAGGCTACTCTGTGATGGTGAAAGCTGGCTAATATGAAGTCTCATCCCAACCTCATCTCTACTGAGCTGAAGCTGAGCTTTTCTTACTTCTCCCTCCTGCAGCCACACTCCTGAGCTCCTGAGGTTGTTAGCCACAGACCCTGTCACCTCTCAAGAAAGCCCAGCATACACATTGAGTTTATTTTCAGTTGCCACTTGAGTTCTAGTTCCTGGATATTTGTTTCCATTTCTTTCTTGTGAGCTCAATGACTGTATGGAAAGGGGCATTTCATCCTCTTTTAATCTAGGCTTTTTTTCCCCCCTGGTGTGGGTCAGTTTACCGACTTTCCAATATTGCAAGCTTCAGAGACCTTACTAATAAAAAAAATACACAGAATAAATATTCTCTCTGTTTAAAGGAAGCCTACAGCACACGAAGAAACCAAGACTCAGATGATAATAAGCCTGTCAAGATCTCACAGCTAGCCAAAGGGAACTTGATTCAAACCTGGCTCCAAATGGCAGTAAAGCTCGAACAGTTATCACCCTGACACGTGACTTCCTCACTTACTCTTCATGTGCTCATTCTCGTGTTCAGTGTTATGGCTTAAACATGAAGTAGTCTCTGTAGGCTCAAGTTTCACGTGCCCCAATGCCTGGCCCTGCTTTGACAGCTGTGGGGCCTCAGGAGGTGAGGCCTGACTGCTGGAAGCTGATCACTTGAGTGAAGCCTCTGAGGGTTTTATGCACCTAGCTCGCTTTCTCTGCTCCTTAGTCTGCACCATGTGAGCAAGCTACCAACTGTGTCATACTTCTGCCCCATAGACCAAGCCACTCCCACTGCCAGGCCCTTCCCATAGAAAAACTGAAATCCTCCTGAGACTGTGAGGTAATAAAACCACCACCACCAACAAAACAATAGCAGCAAAAGGAAACCCTTTCCTCCCATGCTTCTGTCAGGGGTTTGGATTGTAGGGATGTGGAAACTCACTAATATATCTGGTATAAATGCACACTGGTATTTTAGGAAAGAATGGTGAACTACATAGATAGAAGAGACCAAGTGAATCTTGAGTCAACCCCTTCCCTGTGTACCCTCAGGCCCTGAGCCTATGCTCAGCACTCTAGGCTGCTCTGCAAGACTGGACCAGCTTCCACAGAGATGTCCTAGGCTTGCCCTGCAAGACTGGGCCCCAAACTTCCCGTGAAGATGCTTTTCCCTTCTTCCCAGGCTCTCTAGGTCTCCCTTAACTGTTGTTTGCTTTTGTTAGGTAATTTTGATGTATGACAGATCAATTCAAAGGATCCCCCATCACAGCCTGAATCCGATAAGGGGCCAGTCTACAGTGAGAAGTTATTCAAGTTGTAAAAAGAGGTGGATCCATGGCCCCTCAGCCAGGGTGGACAGCTTTCAGTTACCTTGCCCAGCAAATAAGAGCACCCTAAGGGTCACAGTGACCTTCCTAGGGGTCGCAGTGACCTTCCTAAGGGACAAAGGGTCCGTGTGATTCTTGACTCTTCTCCCAACTTTATTACTTGTTGGACCCTTCCTCAAGCCAGGAGGATCTGAGGTAGAAATTTCTGGGCTGGTGTTTCTATGACAGTTTCCCCACCTGCCAGTTTCAAGAGCTGACTAAGCAGCCTCTTTGTTTCTTCTAAATGAGATGCTCCATTCTTTGATGCTGGTCCAGATCTAAGGTGAGGATGATGTGGTGTACCTGTGACGTGTCCTCACAGTGAGAAACCATGGCCTGTCAAGGGACATGGGGCCACATGGAGAAGCTACTTTGAAGGGAACTGAAGGGCACCCTAGGAAACAGCATCTCTTGTCATTCTTCACTGAAAATCATCTCAAGGATTATCATCACCCACCTGTTGTTGCCGGTTGTTACTGCAAGGGGCTAAAGTCATAGGGCAGCCCGGGATGTCGTTTTCTGCTTGGCAGTCTGCACAGAAGCCGAGTCCAGTGTTGTGGAGCTGAAAATGGGCACCCACAAAGATGTGAATCTGACCTCTACTCTGAAGATGCCATGAAGCAGACTCTAACCCCTTGTCCTCTTTAGACCTTATCCTGATGTACGTGGCTCTGACATGGTCAGCTGGATCAAGCCCAGGTCACTCATTTTAAGTCACAAACCTCCATAAGGAGTCTGGACACACTCATTTTGGTGAAGGGATCTGGCATGGGTTATAGGGGAACACAGCTGCTTTCCTCTGGCTGGCAGGAGGCTGGAACATGGAGTCCAAAGGCCTCTGAAGCCTGGTGTAAGGGATGAATGCTCGTGTATTAGCAAGTGACCCCGTCTTTCTTTCTTTCCCTTCTCCCCTGAGTCATGCCTTGCCTTTCCAGAGAACCTGGGTCTGTGCTCAGATGGATACAGCTCAGGATATACATTGGCCAGAAACCAGTGGAATGTCCGACAGCCCAACCTCCTTTGCAGCTTCCGGCGTTCCGTGCAGTCTGGCTTTGCAACCTGTAGGTGGAGAAGGACATGGGGAGCAAACCAGGAAAGCTTGTTCCCCACAAACCCAGACAGTATGAGAGGAATGGAGGTAGACATGAAGAGACAGAAGGACTGGGACAGGATTGCAATGGAGGAAGACTCATATGTTTAGAGAGCTATAGAAGGTACAGAGTCAGGTATCATCTCTGGAGAGAGGCGTGGAACCAGCGAGATTGGAAGCAGTACTACCCCTTCTCACAGACCCCCCAAATCTTCAGCCTACAAAGACCATGGTGTCTGAGCCTTAAAGTCCTTTCTCTGGAATGTGAAGAAATGACGGACTCTGTACCTGGGTTGTAGCATGAGTTGGACCAGAGGTAGTGGAGATGAAGTCAGCTGGGAAATTACAAGGGTGGGGACTGAGGAAAGGCAAGTTGATTTTTCTTCTTCCCTGAGTTTTGATTTTCTCCATTGGTGAAGCATTTATTTGAGCTACATTGGCCCCTCCCTTTATATACAACTGTAGGAAGATGGACACCAGCCCTCAACACTAGTTTACTGCTTTAGGCTGTGTTGGTAAGATCTGAAGAAACCCAGCTAGAAGGGTAGTATAAATTTCCTGGAACAGAGAGGATTTAAGGTGGTGCCGGAATAATCAAACATGGAGAGATGGGGTGGGGAAGGAGGAAGGAGGGAATAGGAAAGGAGAAATAAAAAAGGGAGGGGGTAATTTCCATGTTCGTCTTCCCTCTTGGTGGTCTCTGGTCTGCAGTAAGACACAGAGGGCCAAAAGGGCTGTAAATATTTTACATGTTATGTTGGGCTAACTTCATCCAAAATGCTGTGCTCTATTGAGCCTGTCTAGAGCCCAGGTACATCAGAAGCCTGGCTAGTTCTTTTTATGGGTTCTTTTATAAATTAAATCTATATTGACATTAAACAAGTGTTCCCTGAAAACAAAGAGAAAATACTAAATTGACATCCATTACATGAGAGTGGAGAAAAATGATGCTCAATACAACAACAACAAAAAAGCCCAAAGATTAAAATCCTCAGTGACTCTGGGGGTCCTTTCATCCTGAGGGGTAATCAAGGACTACAGAATAACATTAATTACATGTTTTAATTTCAACTTTTCTGTGACTTTTTTTGGTAATTCATATTTATTTTTATAATCAAATCTTTTCTTTGTCTTGGTTATTCCGTAGTCCTTGATTACCCCTCAGGATGAAAGGACCCTAAGAGATGTGGTACATCTGTTATCTTCCTCTGGTTCCCAGCATCCTATAGCAGTATGGGAATTACAGGTCAAGTGTGAGACTCTAGCGAGGTAATGGGACAGAGGACAGCCCCAGCAGGTAGAAGGATCACTCTAGAGGGACAACTCAGAGAAGCTCAAGCCAGAAATAAGAGAGGGACCTCCTTAGCTGACCCAAAGCTAGTGAACTTATGTTGGTCAAAGACCCCCTAGCAGCCCCTCTTTACCTTGCTTAGGGAAAGGGCCTCTGGGCTGTGCCTGTAGAAGGTTTCTTTGAAGGACCCCAGCCAGGTCTCAGCAATGCGGACCTTGTTCCTCAAGATGAGCTCAGGGTCAGTCCTGGAGCTGACATCTTTGCTTTGGTAAATGTGTCCCACTCGAGAGCAGGGAAGGATTTCAATGGAGCCGCCACAAAGCCAGGCCTGTCATAGGAGGAGAAGGTGATTGGCTCTCCTTTCTACCTCTCTGTCTGTGAGCGACTGACAGAAGACCAGGAAGTCTATGCCAGGATGACCAGTTCATATCCTTAGAGCATAGTTCCTCAATCCTACAGTGTGGGGAGCAGGGCAGTGAGGTGAGAGGGACAGAGGGCAGTTGTCCTAGAATGGAATTGAGGGGTGATGGCTGACACCTGTGCACCTGCCTGGACACGCCACCTGAAAAAATGTGCAGACCAGAGGATGCTTTCCCAGGGAAAACATGTCTGCAGTGGCCAGGGAATTTCTAAGAGCCAGTGATGTCTCCTGCAAAGACACTAGAGATGAAAGCACACTTTCCTTAGTCTTCTTCACTCCATCCAGAAGCTTCTCCCTGACCCCCACTGTTCAATGGACAAGAATCCTTTATTCCATACTTGGTGACAGAAATTACAATTGAATCATGCTGGGACAGGCTGTGGTTCAAGAACTAAAATCACACTAGGCATGGGGTTCTCAAACACTCTGCCCCAAGATACCTCAGAAGACTCAAGGAGCACCTCAGACATTTTTCATTTTTTAGAGAAATAGACAACTTGGACATTATGCAAACTACAACCTTGTTGTAATTCACACATCCACATTAGATTGGCCTGCCATGGGAGATGATGGACATCTTTTCTGGACTAGGTTTGGGGCAGTGGGTATGACTGAAGGGCAAGAATAATGCTAGGAACAGGGTGGAACAGAAAGTATGGGTGGTGCCTGTCCACACAGTTCCCAGGACGGAGAAGACAGCTATGCCCAGCAGGTCCTAAGTCAAATGAATACCCATTGTTTGGATGGAACTACTCAATGCCAAGAGTGGTTTCACATTTGGCTGGTGGGTACCATAAAAGATTCCCTAGATGCTAAGAGTGCCATGAACAGAGAATGTACCAGAAACTTAGGATTCTCTGCACTGAGATGTGAATGGCTGATAGTATACCTTCTCCTGATGAGGATTCTGAAAGTCAAGTTCACAGAGAGGAGGCTGGGAATAAAGTCAAGGTAGGTCACAAGAGTCATGGCCTGGGAGGACACGGGAGGTTTGACACATCTTGATGTAATGACTTTATATAATTTCCCCACAAGTTTATTCCCAACACCTGCTCTTTCTAATGTCTACCTCTGAGCTGACTGCACACATGGTTCCAGAGATACCACCCGCATCCACTGTTAACATAGAACCTACCTTGAAGGACATCTCAAGATTTTCCCCACCCTGAGGTGACATGAGAGGATCATAAGCTCCAGAGTTTTGGAAATAGTGTCTGTCCACGGCCACCACCTCTCCGGATACCACAGGGCTCCTACACAGAGAAGTCAGATAAGAGACTGCAGGGCAACCCCAAGCATAGAGACAGAGCCTAGGTGGGGCTTCCCAGAGCAGGTTCAGTGAATGAGACAGCTGACCCTGGGGCTCTGAAGAAGCTCAACATTTTGAACCACAAGACTGGAGCAGAGCAACAATGTTTGAAATCCAAGAATTTTATAAAGAGAACTATGTGCTGGAGAGATGGCTCAATGGTTACGAGTGTTCGCTGCTCTTCCAGAGGACCCAAGTTTGGTCTAGCAGCCATGTCAAACTGGTCACAGCTGCCCATAACTCTATCTGCCTACAAAACCTGCACACACACAGCATATTCTCACACAGACAATTAAATAAAAATAAGACTGAAGATTAAGAAACACTAGACTGACCTGGGTCTTTGTAGCTCGTCCTTAGGCCTTTTTCTATAGAAGGGAGTAGTGATTGCACTTGAGTCTCTCCAGAGAGGTGTCTGAGGAGAAGGTTCTAGCTAAAATAAGACACCTCAAGGGAGGCAGTTGCCAGGCCCAAACCAAAGGAACAGTCAGGCTCTCTTGTGGCTTGAATGTGAAAAGTCTCCCATGGGCTCATGTTTTGAACACTCTTTCCCCAGACTGCAGTACTAACCTGAGAGGCTTGGAGCCCTTAGGAAGTGGGACCTCGCTGGGAGAAGGTTACCAGCAGTGGGCCTTTGAAGGTTAGACTCATCCCTGGCTCTGGTCTAGTTTCCCATCTGACCAGGGCGAACAGGCCACCACCACCTCAGGCACGTGGAGAACTGACTGAGCCCCTCCTGCTTTCGAGCTGTCCTGCCGTGATAGACTGAGACCTCCGACACCATGAACCCTTCCTACCTTAAGTTGCTTCTGACAGGTGTTTCCTCAAATAGAGGAAAAGGTAATGCACAAGGCTCTTCCTGCTTCTCTTCTCCCCGCCCCCTTCTTATGTTTTCTTTTTTCCTCTATTCCCTCCCCACCTTTAAGATGAATCTAACAGGAGTTCTGTAGATGGGTTCCCACTCTCACTGGGTGAAATAAAATGGCTTATACATGCAGAGAATGGGAAACTCTGGGCAAGGGAATGGATGGGAATAACAGTCCTCAAAATGGCTTAATGCAAACTACCTGTGGTGGTGCACATCTTTAATCCCAGCACTTGGGAAGAAGAAGCAGGAGGACCTCTGTGAGTTTGAGGCCAGACTGGCTGGTCAGATGTGGTGAGTTATAGAATAGCCAAGGCTATACAGTGAGACAATGTCTCAAAAAAACAAAACAAAACAAAACAACAAAACAAACAAACAAAACAGTTCACAGCTGCAGCTTGTGGGGATTGAAACCAGAAGTTCCATGCAGTACCAATCACCATCCTTGCCATATTTTAAATACAAAGCTGTACAGTTTTATGGTTTGGGAATTCCTTCTGTGATGCTTTTATTGGTTAATAAATAAAGAAACTGCTTTGGTCTGTGATAGGACAGAGTAGAGATAGGCAGGAAAACTAAACTGAATGCTAGGAGAAAGAAGGCAGAGTCAGAGACAAGCCATGTAGCCCCGCTGGAGACAGATACCAGGCTGAACCTTGCCAGTAAGCCACACCCACGTGCCAATACACAGATTAATGAAGATGGGTTAGTTTAGGATGTAAGAACTAGCCAATAAGAAACTAGAGCTAATAGGCCAAGCAATGAATGATTTAATTAATACAGTTTCTGTGTGGTTATTTTGCTTCTTTCTGAGTTTGCTATTCCTCTCTTATGTTTGTGGTGCTGCAGTATAGGAGTTCCCTCTGTTTGTGTGTTGCTTTTATTGAATAATGAATAAAGAAACTACCTTGGTCTAGTTGATAGAACAGAACTTACGTAGGTGGAGAAGACAGAACTGAATTCTGGGAGAAAGAAAGCAGAGAGAGAGAGAACCATCATGGAGCAGCCAGAATCAGACATGCTGAATCTTTCCCAGTAAGCCACAACCTCGTGGTGATATACAGATTAATAGAAATGGGTTAAATCAAAATGTGAGAGTTAGCCAATAAGAGGCTAGAGATAATGGGCCAGGCAGTGATTTAATTAATACAATTTCTGTGTGGTTATTTTGGATGTAAGCTAGCCAGGCAGCCGGGACAAACAAAGGGCCACCCTCCTAGTGCAACATGGCCGTTGTTTTTCTCTGTTTCTGTTTGCTTCTCTGACTTTGCTTTGTTTTGGTTTTGGAGACAAGGTCTCACTGGGCAGCACAGGCTGTTATCAAACTCACGATCTTCCCTTGGGATGTCGGGTGTGACCACCAACCCCTGGCTCCTAGTGTGAGTTTTAATTCAGAATTTTTGGATTTTAGAAAGGAGCGTACAGGACACACTGCCCTTTGGCTTTGGTAGCTGCACTTTGTGCGGCGCACTGACATTTCTTCAGTCAGGGTGTCACTGCCCTCAGCGTGGGCTCCACCACATCTGCTGCCCGGTGCATTATGACAACATGCTTGGTTTTCAGAGGGTTTGGAATTTGTGGTTATCAGTTGTAGACTGCAGATGTGTACCAGCCACCCAGTTTAGCACATCAGGGAAATAGCTGGTCTTAAGAGCCGGCTCCCTGGATTTCCGCTGTCATAATGTTGGGAATTTCATCTGTGTCTTGGGCACAGTGGAATAGAGACAGCCAGCCTGGCTGAGTCACTCCAGAGCTCATGACCCACAGAGTCTGGGAGCTTGAAGAATAGCTGTAGTCTTAAACACTAAATTTGAAGTGGTTTGCTATCTGGTAGAAAATTTCTTAAAAAAAAAAATACTTAGATAATTGTTCAGAAACCAAAACAGGACATAGGAGTAGCAACTTTCAAGGCTGGATCTATTTTCTTCCTTTTTACTGAGCAGGGACTCGAGACCAAGGTATTTGCTGTGTTATCTGGGGCCAAGGTCAGTCGTCTTCCTCCTCATCCTCACCTTGGGCATCCACCGAAGCTTCTGGAAGGGTTTCACTGGACTCCATTGGTATCACAATGGTAGCAGCATTGCAGCTGGCTGACTGCTTTTTACACTTTGGCTTGTTTGGTTTGCATACCCATCCCATATATGCTAGGCACTGTCATCAGGAAATGGGGACTCAGGTGAAATGGGTCCCAGGTGTGGAGATCAGAGAAGCGCCTCACCTGATAGGGCTGATGGGGGATGGGAGGGCCTCCTGCTCCTGTTCCCCCAGGGGCTCCCATCGGAAATCCAGCTTCCAGTCCAGCACCCCTCGCTGCAGCTGCTTGACTGCAGAGTACTGAAACGTCTTCCAATCAATCACGTCTATAACTGGAGACACTACTCGGCTCCTGGAAAGAGCGGAGGATAAACAACTATGCAGGTGACTCACTAGCTGGGGACAGGAACAAGGTCTATGTGATGTGTGGCCAAGGGCAGCAGGCATTGGCCGTTTGCCCCTGTCAGCCTTGAAGCTGTGCTTTGTCCCAGCCAAGAATCCCAATTTAGAAGAGTTAATAGGAAAAAAGAATGTAAAAACTTTCAATAATTTTATATTGATTACACACCGATATTGCATTTTAAATATGCTATGTTTACATTATTAAAATTATTTTCAGCTGTTTTTACCTTATAACATGATTGTTTTTATTAAACATGTGACCCATGTTGTATCTCGTCTGTATGACACTGGCTATATCTGAAGGACTGGATGTACCTCCGACAGGACCCTGGGCAGTCAGAGAGTGGGAAACAACCTGGCCTGATGCAGTCATTTAGCTCTTCCTAGAAACCTCCCCTTTCTTTTAGAAACCCCCTTATTGAGAGGTGTGATTCTCTGCCTTGCTTGGTTAGGCATTAGAGCTGGCAAGCTGGAAGCTGGATACGGCAGAGAGCCTTGGCCTTCCACATTGCAGCTCTATAAGGAAGCTGCCATTGGTCAGCAACCCCAGACCACCCCAAAGCAGTTGTTTTGGTGTAGGGTTGTTTTGTGCAGTTATAGGGATTGTGTACCTACCACTCAGACCCAGAAAGCACCTCAAATACTGTACATTATTATAAAATTACATATTTATTTTTACAATTTCCTTAAATATAATAAGAGGCTGAAACATCTCATTCCAGAACTAGAGAGATGGGTCAGCTAGGAAGAGCGCTTGTGCCTCTTTCAAAGAATCCAGGTTCAGTTCCCAACACCCATGTCAGGAGCTCACAAGGCCCTTAATTTCATTCAGATCCAGAGAAACTGACATCCTCTTCTGGTCTCTGTGATCATAGAACACTTGTGCTTAATGAGAGCAAGCATAGAGTGCAAGAACAAGAACCAGGAGCTCTGGTTCTGACAGTTCCATCCAGCTGGGAGCCAGGAGGTCCTACCGTGTCTCAGGCCAGCTTGAGCAGCATGGGTGTTGAATGGGTGAGCCTCTCCCCACACTCCTAGGGGAGCTAGTTACCAGGGTTTTCTGAATACGATAGTCATATTGAGGGGCATGACGGATAGGTCAGGCTTAGGAAGAAATGGAGATGAGAAAAAGGGTGTGGAAAAGATAGCATGATAGGGTCAAAGCAATGCTAACTTGTGGGATGTAGTATGACCCTCAGTTCCACATCCCCCAGGGCTCGGTTTAGTTAGAAAATTAGGAGCACTGTGGGCACTACAGAGGAGCAAAGAAAGTTAATTGTTGGGAAAACCAGTGATGGGGAAATCTAATGCCTTCTCCCTGGGCATCGGTGACCTGTGCTCTAGGCTGGTTTAGGAGTTTGTTCCCCCAAAAGAAACTGGCAAAGTCGGGGAGTCATGGCAGGCATGGAGTGTTCTGCCCTTCCTACGCAGCTTAGCCGGAATGGTGTGTGCCACCCTTCCTATGCATCTTAGCAGGACTGGTTCATTTAGACGTTGTAGAAGCTGTTTTCTAGCCTTCCTTCCAATGGTAACTTCCCACACTTCTTAACATCCAAGTGTCTGGAAATCCCAAGGAATTGGTTCTGTGGACCAATGAGTGGAAACCAAGGTGTTTCTCAAAGGGTGGGTAGATACTCTGTTCTCAGAGTAACTGTGCCTGGGGTGTCTCTCCCCGACCCACTCCTTGCTTTGAAGATCCTTAGTAGAATGAATTACCTGTCATCAGCTATTCTGCTGAGGAGAGGCTCCAGCCATCCAGGGTGGCACTCACAGTGGGCATCCATGAAGACCAGCACATCCCCTGTGGCCATGGTGGCCCCCAGCATCCGGGCTCCGATAGTGCCAAGCCTCTTGTTGCTCCTGAGCAACTTCACAGCCTCCAGCCTGGCCACATAGTCACTGAGAGCAGACTTCAGTTGTTCTGGAATCGACAGGGTTCTGTCAATGGGGGTCGTGGATGCCACACTGAACAAGACTGTGGTGAGCATTGCAGACTTAGAGACCCCAGTGGGTACCAGATTCTGAGCCTCCAATGTGTTACTAAAGGTGGTCATTTCTAAAGTTTGGGATGGTGCATAATTCTCTGTATTACCACTAGGCTGGAAGAGTGGAAAACTGGAAGAGGAGAGAACTACAACCGATCTCCAACTGAGATCAAGATCACCACTCAAGAAAACCACTTGCTCTTACATCCCATCTTTGGCTCTCATCCAGAGAACCCAACTGAAGACAGCGGACAAGAAGCTTAAGAACAGAGGGTCATGAAACTGCAGCTGGTAGCCACTGAGGTGTTGTCTCAGAGGTTTCACCCAGTGGCAGGATGAGTCTGAGAAGAGGCTGTGGAGGAGATGAGAAACCATGGGCACTTCCAGCTGTGGGTTTTGGACAGATGCAAAGGCTGTGGCTTAGCTGCTAGCCAAGGATCCAGATGCCCTCAAGTAGGAAGGGCTGAAGCTGAGGACTTGGGAGGAAGCTTGTCTTAGGTTTTTATTGTGAGAAAACACAATGACACAATAAATTACTCACAGTGGAGTATCTGTTCCCTTGTCACCTGAAGCTCCTCATCCAGGGAACCTTGTCTATGGCCTTGAACTCTTTCTTTTATGGAACTCCCCCTCCCTCCCATCTTGTCCTTCCCTCCTCCATTCTGGCTGAAGGTCAACCACTCCCAGTGATCCAGAAGTCAACTTCAGTTACCTTGCTGGCTGAGGTCATCTACAATGATGATCTCCTGCAGCAAGACCTTGGGTGCGGTGTCCAGGATGCTGTGTACAGTTCTCAAGAGCAAGGGCCAGGCTTCATCATGGAAGCAGAGAATGACGCTGGCTGTAGGCAGGCCACTTGCAGGGTGCTGTGGTAGACACCTGCAGGGCAAGAGAGTTAGAGAGCCCCCAAGGAGGAGATTGTGCAGAGAAGTCAGCCCAGGCCCCTCACTCCTCAACCCTGGCTGGCCCACTCCAGCCACATCACTGTTACGATTCGGTGGCTCTCCTGGGATTTCATCAAGTAGCCAGCCACACAGAGATCCCCACACATTATAACAGTGACTTCTAACTCTCGACCTAGATGTCAGAGCTCTGCTGAACCCAGCACCTGATGCTTCATGGAATAATATCTATCTGAGAAGTTAAATATCTGGTTTAGTTTGTAATTTTTTATCTTGTGATAATGTAAGACTCCCAAGAAGTTACAAACATTGCACAGTTAAACCTGGTGTGAAAAAATAAACATATGAGCGCAAATCGTCAGTTTTCTAAGTCTTTGATGCTCTATCATCAGTTCTGAAATCATCACCAAAATAAACAAAATCATCCTCAAGATAAACAAAATAATCTTAATAACATACCCAGAGGGAACTGTCCTCCCTATAAGGTTTTGGGAGTGGACTAAGAGTCGTTTGTATAGCTGGTAAGTGGCCCGGCTCCAGGACCCAGCAACAGAGGTAGCAGACCACTAGGGGTAAGATTGAGGGTTATACATTGCTTGCTAGTCAGTACCGTGTGAGAAGCCAGGCTCCTCTGGTTGCCATGCCTTTCCAGTCGTGGTCGACTTAAGCCCATGAATCGTGAACCAAAAGAAACTCACATATGTTCCCCTTCCTGTGGTGCTTCTGTTAGCTGTTCAGTCGTAGAGATGAGAAAAGTAACCATTGCATCCAGTGTTTGTAGGGTTTTACGGGGTGGGGGGACACATGCCTGGAGGTCAGAGAACAGCTTGCTGCAGGAGTTCTCTCCTTCCATGTAGGTTCCAGGGATTGAGCTCAGGTCTTTGGGCCTGGCGGCGAGTGCCCTTAAGAGCTACACCATTTTTCTGGCCTTGCTCAGTGCTTGGAGGTATCAGTTTCCTTATTTTAAAAATTAGGATGATTTTTTTCCTACTTGAGCCTAGTGTGAGAAAACAATGCAAGCGTGAGTGCTCCGTCATCAGTTTGTCAGTCATGGTTTATATACATATGTATTTATTAATTGTCAGTGCTGCATGGAGCTCACTTACTTAGGGGAGTGCTCTACCACTGAGCTACATGGCTAACCCTTATGTATGTAATGTATGTATGTGTGTATATATGTGATAGGTCTTACTATGTAGCTTAGGCTAGTCTTGAAGCCCCAGGCCTCTTGCCTCAGCCTCCCCAGAGGTAAGATCACAGCATGGACCACCATGGTTGTTGAATACTATTATTTTGTTGTTGTTATTATTATTATTATTTGTCTGTCCTGGAACTTGTTCTGTGGACCAGGCTGTCCTTGAACTCACAGTGATCTGTCTGCCTCTACCTCCCGAGTGCCACCACTGCCAGGCCAAATACTGCTATTTTACCAACTGCTCTGTAGCATGGACCCTCACTGGCCACTTCCATGTTAGGGTTCCCTTCTCCTCAGGACGGAAATGCCCACAGATGCCATTGCAGAGCTTTTGTGAGCAGCAAGTCCCACAGGTGCTTAGTATCAAGTCAGGCACACAGCTGCAACCCCTTTGGAGGAGGCGGTCTTTCCGTTCTAGCCTCCTTCAGACAGTTGTCTCTGTGGATTCCGCAGTCAGGAGCTATGAAAGTGCTGAACATTCAGGCTACTGACTTCTGTTTGATCTCCCAGAGCATCCCCTGTAGCACGGAAGTCTCTCCATCACCGGCCAGCTATGCAGATGACCCTGGACTTATCGCTTGTTTTAGATTGTGGTGATCTCCCGAGGGGAACGACAGCACCCGCTTACAAAGGTCGCTGTGAGGTTGAGTGGCTCTTGTAAAGCCCCAGGAAGGACATGTCTGCTGCAGTCCGTCTCCACAGCTGTGCTTCGAGAGCTGCTGCGAAGGCCCTTTCGGTCTTGGGATTTGCTGTTTTTGCTTTTTGTTCTATTTTTTTTTTTTTTTTGAGACAGTCCCTCACTGTGTAGCTCTGGCTGTCCTTAAACTCACTCTGTAGCCCAGGCCGGCCTGGAACTCACAGAGACCCACCTGCCTCTGCCTTCCAAGTGCTGGGATTAAAAATGTGTGCCACCACCGCATGGCTTTTGTTCTTGATTCTTTAGGGTCCCTTTCTAGCTGGCAGACACTCTGAGAAGCTGTGATTTCAAAGAGTGTCCTGTTTCCAAAATTTCTGAGTTTGATGACCAGGCCTAAGTATATTTTTTTCTTCACAGTGAGAGAAGTGGCGGGGAGATGGATGGGCAGTATGAGTGGCTAGACCATACAGGCAGACACGGGTTCTATGGGTTTGATGGGCAAAGAGCGTAGGCCCCATCACAACCAGGAGGGGCTCCTGCGACAGTGTGAACAGGCTCTACCTCCTCTCCAATGAAGAAGCTCTCACAGTCTTCAGGATTCACACAGGCCACATGGACCATCTCCTCAGGTACTAGGAAGCCAGAAAGACCACCATGGAGTGTTTGGGTATATCACGGAGGACTAACAGAACTGAGTGGGCTCTGCCTATGGGGCGTGTGCAGGCCCAGCTCCCTCAACACACCTCTTCAATGCAGAACCAAATATTGTAAATTAAGCACTGGCAGAGTCCTGTGGCTCAGAGCATACCAGATGGTTCTAGGAGGAACAGAAATCTATTAATTTGCTCCTGGCAGCCAGAGGATCTGAGGAAGGGGCCCGTGGGTGAGGCAAGCACAGTGGCCAGAAGGGGGGGTCAAGTTCATGTGCAGTTGGAGTGGGTTTATGGGCCTCTGTGGTCCTAGGGATGAGCTCCGTCCACTATGGGCATTGAGAGGAGCCTCACTGTGCCCATGGCTGGTGGCACAGTGGAAACGGTGTAACACAGCCAGACTCCACTTCCACTCACTTTGCTGAGGGCATCTTAGGAGTTTCATCCTGTATAGCCAGCAGAGAGGAGACCAAGAGTGGCCACAGGCTTCAACTCCTGGGCCAGTCCCTTCTGAGATTCGGAAAAGTGAGGTCACATCTCTGAGGACCGCACTTCTTCCAGTTGTCTCCAAGTCATCTGCTGTTTTAGTAACTCATCCCCCTTTAACAATTCTTTTGATTCATTAGTTCTTCCTGAATATATATATATATATATATATATATATATATATATATAACCTCAACTTCCTCATCCATAAAACGGGGTTATGGGAAGGAGCCAGTGAATCATGCCCCAGGCATCACAGGGAACTGAATGGACTGTGTGAACTGTAGCCCTGCTGTCTGCCTGACCGCACAGCTACCAGCAAGGCTTCCCTTCCCCACTCTGATCCTGACTCAGAAGAAGACACCCCTCTCCAGCTCTCCTATACTTTCAGGGCTGGGGACCACTAGTGCAATTAAACCCCTGGTTTTCAGTCTGGCTGCATGCTAGAGCCACTTTCCTTGGATGAATCAAATATGAGGCGGGGCACAGAATCCAGACGTCTGTGTTCTAACACACATGGTAGGCAAACAAACCGTGCACATACTTAGGACTCGCTGGTGTAGCCCCTGGCTGTGGTAAGTAGGGCCTGTGGACCACTGCAGCTTAGCATCTCAGGCTGCAGCCCCAATCCCCTGAATCCAGCTCTGCCTGCCAATGCACTGCTCTAAGTTCATGGCCATGCTGAAGTTCAAGGACCCCTGCTCTGACCAACCTGGCCCAGAGAGTTGAATCTGAACGGGGTTCCCATAGCATCTTCAGAGCAGCTCTAATGCCCAGGAACCCATGGAGGATCCTGGACCTATGACAAGCCTTCTGGGTGCATGGATGGCAACCCAAGTATTAAACACAGAGTGGCAGAGCCCCTGGCCTGGACTTTGACGTGCAAAACGCTGCCTCCCTGGGAGTGTCTTTGATAAGGCCCCCTCCTTATCTACTCTGGAAGCCAGGGCAATCAGAAAGGGAGTGGAGGTGGGGTAACTGGAAGAACTTTGCAGGCTGTCAGTGATGTGGGACACTCGTGAGCAGGACACATGTAACTCTTGGTCCTCGGTGCCAGTAGTTTCAAGGTCTAGTTAACCCCATGCCATACTCAGCTTCTGGCTCCCATCAAGGGTCTTTCTCTTTATACTGTTTGTGTGTTTTGGTATGTGTGTATGCGTGTGTGTGTGTGTGTGCATGTGTTTGTGTGTGTGTCCCTTCCCCATAGTACAGCCATCACAGTGAGTTTGAACCATCCTGTAAAGCGTGGTGGTATGCACAGTTTACACTCCTCCATGGATGTTGCCTTCGGGGCCTCTGGGTCTGGCTTTTGCCCTCAGCGGGATCTTTACAAGGCGCCCTTGAAAATGGATGAGTCTCTAAAGCAGCTGTAGCACCCAGGAGCCCATGGAGGATCCTGAACCTGTGACTTCAACAAGCTCCCTGAGTATTAAGCCAGATGGGCATGTTGTAGGTTGCATGTAGCCCTCCAGCGTCCCAGATGAGACATTGGGCAGCTTCAGCTCCTAGGTGCTACTGTGGACACTGTGGTAGTCATCCGCCTACGTGCTCTCAGGGCCCTGGGAGGTGGCTGGCTTGAAGATTGGCAAGCTTAAATGCTTGCAGCCTAGGTGACTTGCCCAGGTTTGATTTGGGAATTGGCAGATCCAGAGTCCATCGTGATGGCATCAAACAGGCTGTCAGGTCACGTGGCACCACTCCATTTATCTCTCTACATCTTGATCCCTCTCATTCATAAAACAAAACCCGCTGCACAGATCTGTGAAGCTGATTGAGGAAGTGAGCCCCACTCACTAGAGTCTCCAGGGTGTATTAACTGTCCACTAAAAGCTCACTAGAGTTTTGCCTCTCTTTCCTGAGACATTTGTTCTGAGGCAGGGTCTCACTGTGTAGCCCAGGCTGTGCTCAAATGCACAACGCTCCTGCCGTAGCCTCCCTTCGTCAAGCGCTGGAGGCAGAGGCGTGCACCATCATGCCTGATCCCAGAGCCAGTCTTTTGGCTCCGTTTACACTAATATTTTACTATTTCCATCTTGTATTATTGGTAATTGTCCTCCTATGCAAACTGACCTCCAGCCATGGTCCTAGAGGAGATTTGGAACCTAGCAAGCGGACTGACAAATGCCAGGGCAGGGCAGAAGGTTAGAAGGTTAGAAGGGTGAAGGTTAGAAAAATGTGTCTGGGTTAGGAGTCAAGGAGCTCGCAGGAAGCCTGGAGACTGGAGGAGTGTGGGAGAGAGGACACAAGAGGCCGAGGTCTCGCGGCCCTGGGAGGAAAGCTCAGGGCCTCACACAGCAGACAGATGCTTATATGCAGCATTCCTTGTCTTTCCACCCACTGGAAGATGGAGGGAAGGAGAGCGCTGCCAGCTTGGATAGAGGATAGGGGTTTTGCCTGGCTTTGCAGGGACTCTTGGGTATCCAGGAGCCTTCTGTAGTCTGGGAGATCTGGGGTCTGGTAGCAGATGGGAGCTCTGGTTGCACCAACCGCACTCGCTGATGATAGCCAGCAGAGGGCGCTGTCCACCGCTACATAGCGCTGGTAACTATGAAAACCCTGGGATGGAGAACCCAATTATGTGTTTCACTTGAGACAGAGAGGTTTCTTGACTGCCAGAGTCTTTCAGGGTTAAAACGGCCCAGACAACTGAAGTGCAGTGCTTACCATGGAGGGAAGAAAGAGCCAACAAAGTGGTCTGCCCAAGGTATATATACAAGTGTACAAGCTTGTTTATGTCTAACACACCAGGTGTATCTGTATCTGCTTGTACCACCAACCCTCCCCCCAATTCACACCCGCACATTACACTACAAGCGACACACTCGAACACGAGCACATGACGATTGCAAGAAACATTTTACAATACAAAGAACACACACGTGCCCCGTATATCATGGAAAATAAACAGTTTCATGATGTATACGTATGGACATAGGCACAATTCATGTGCACATCACATCAAGCACACAGCACATACTATAGGTATGTGCAGTCTACTCATGTATGCCACACATCTACACCTGTGCACGAGGTGCCACACTTTGTACTACACTCACAACATACCATTTACTATTACTACATAATAAATACATAACACATGCACACGTGTCTCACATACAGTGCACATACGACATATTTATAACACATAAAGTACTTACAATACATACACTGGCACTATGCAAACAAAGGCACATAATACATATAAAATAGGCATAGCACAGCACACATGCGTACTACATAAACACATACAAGACAAACACACATCAAACACACATAGTTCCACATAATACATGCTCCAATGCACAATAGATACCCTACATATATGTAGTACTGTACATATCAGCACACATTCACAACATGCAGACACACATGACGCCATACCTATATAGCTCACACCTGTGCCCTATGATGATGGGTGGTATGACCTCCACACACAGCCTGCATGGACAACACCCCAAACTACTATACACATGTACTACGTACAACACACATTTATTTAGTATACATAGCATAATATGCACTCAACACATGGTGTATGCGCAGTGCATATGTGCACATGCACATACGCAGTTCACACACGAGTGTGCATATGTAGAGTGCTCTGGAGACAGAGTCACACCCACATCCCGAAAGCCAGAGCCAACGTTTCTTGTTTACAGAACGAAGTCCTTCCCGTTTTCTCTCAGCCAATGACAACACGCATGGACAGAACTGGAAAGCTGCTCCTTCGTCCAGCACTCATTTTCGTACAGGGAGCTGTGTGCTGGCTGCTGAGACATGCGGTGCGCAGCTGTGCTGACCTTCTGCAGGCTTTCGGCACAGTGGCAGAAGCAGGCACGGCACAAACAAACACGCTGATGGCTATTTAGTGTCTGTGAGTTCAGAGGGAGCCTCAAACTGGAGTGGGGGAGGGGTTCTGGACAGAACTTTTAAAGCCAGGGTGTGAAGTCGGCATCACAGAGCTGGGACTATAGGCAGGTGGGTGCTCCAAGGGCAGGTGAGTGCTCCAGGACACACAACCTCGGGAGATCTTTGCTCTTAGGTAATCAGTAACCAGTGACGGGGGCAGCCGGGCTGAGAGCAGTCAGGGGTCCAAAGTCTCATGGCCCTGCTCCCACTGTCACTGCAATGTGTCTTTCACTTCCAGGGGTAGAAGATAAGCTTGCTTTCGGGAAACTCAGTGGGCTGTGGAGTCGTGGCTTCTAGGGCAGGGCCCAAGGCCACGCTGGCTGTTCAGCCACACTGTGTCTGGATTTGGGTAGGCAATCTCTTGCCTGCCTCTGGCTGTCCATGGTGGGAGGGGAAGCAGGGGCTAGAGAATGAACCACCACCATCTCTCTGGGCACAGATCTGCACGTCACAAACACTTCCCACTCCTGGGGTGGGGCACCCAGCAGGCTGAGCTAGTCGGTACAGCATATGAGCTCTCAGGCAAGGGAACTGTTCTTTTCTTGATGGGATGGAGGAGGGTGGTAGAGGGTGGTGCTTCAGGCCCAACTGGTGCTTAAATGCCTGAATTCAAATTCCTACTTTGAAGCTTATCAGCTGTGTGACAGTGGGCAAGCCACGGGGCCTCTCTGTTCCTTGCTTTTTACCGTACAAACTAGGCATGAAGCTAAAGTAATGCAGAGAACTTTCTAGGACCTTCTGGGTTGCATGCAGAAAGCTCAGGTTAAAACCAGACACACGGCAAGAGGTAAATAAGCATTTCTTGCCATGTTTGCAGTTCTTTATTTGATCCCAGATAAAGGCAAACACTAATAATAAACCAACGTGAGAAACTGAACGTCCAGCATGAGAGCTGGGAGGACCCTTGAAGCATTGTGCTTCTATCTCCCTATTAAAGCCTCGTGACCCAGGGGCATTAGCAGTGGGACTAGACCCTAGGACTGGGAAGAGATCGTCTCTCCTTTAGGACTTGTTAGAGGCAGATCTGTGGATCTGAGGCATCTGGCTGAGCAGGTCTGAGATGGGATTTAAGGATCTTTAATTTTATCACTTCATCAGCAAAGCTGATGGGGACCACACGTCAGGGGCCGCTGTCCCAAGGATGGGAGAGGCAGATGACGGATAGCCAGCACCCCTGACTTTGCTATCCCTGAATCACACAGTAGACCAGAGAAAGGAACGCAGGGGTCTTACTTACATCGGGTGCCGCACCTCAGGCAGGACTCTCCTCGGGGACAGGTAGTCATTGAGTGCCTTGTTGAGGTCTGTGTCCAGGCTGAGTGGAGTCAGTGACTCCTCTGAGTCCTCCCCATCCTCCTCAGTCCTCCAATCCCTCTCAGGGGCTTCCTCATCCCGCCTCCTGCTTGGGTGTTTGATGAACTGGTAGCTGCCCCGTCTCTGGTGCTGGCTCTGATTCCTCTTAGCCACAACCACCAGCAATTGATCCTCCTGCAGGGAGATGAAGGGCAGAAGGCCGTCCAAGAAGCTGTACTCCTCACTCTCGTCTTCAGCCTCCAGAACCCATTCTTGGGAGTCCCCATAGTCCAGGCGATACCCAGTGTCAGAACTGTGTTTGCTGGCTTGGGTTGTGACAGCCTGGTGCAGCGTGGGCGGGGGAGGATACAGCATGGTCACCATCATCAGGACACATCCGAGTGTCAGCAAGAGCAGGAGGAACTGAAGTCTGCAGCGTCCGTTCCTGGGTCTCTTCCTCAGGAGCATGTCGCAGCCACTTGCCCAGAGCAGCAGGTCCTGATCAGGTCAAGCTTGTCATTGAGTCTGGGCTGTTCATTGCAGCCAAGAGGCTTTTTGCCAGTCACCTGCTCCTTTTATTCCATCTGACACTTGCCAACAGCAGTTGTAGGACCCACTTCCCTTGGAACCAGCAAGCCACAGGAGCCTGGGGTTGCCCCTGGTCCTCTCTGGATTTTGTCAATTGTCTTATGAAAAGGGTCTCTGGTCCGTGTTGCTTGCCCCCTCTCACCCTGCTCTTGTCCATTCTGCTCTGGTGGTTAGTCCCGTGTTTCTTACCCCCTCTGCATGCATGGTAAGGTTCTATGGGATGTCTGGGGCAAGTGGCTGGGGATTCAGTCAAGCCAGGATGACAGACATCCTCCTTTGGACGCCTTGAGGTCAGGCCAGACCAACAGACGTAAAGCCTAAAGCCCACAGGCACTGCCCCGTTTCCTTTCACACGTAGCTCCAGCTCTGCACAAACCCTCTGCCAGACACAATGGGAGCCAAGCGTGAGTCTCGCTCCTGGTCCTAATGCCCTCACTGTTCCAGGCTTTGCACAACCACAAAGCATCACCCTGAGAGCCAGTCCAAAACAGCATCCTCCCTGGAGTCCAGACTTGAACCTTATTCACAGGGAGGCATCCTCTCCCCACCCAGAGGAGCAGGAAGGAGAATTCCGCCCTGGCTCAACAGGCTGCCAAGATGATGCAGATGCCAGGAGCCAGCTGTCGGTCAACACCTTCAACCTCCTGCAACAGTCCCGGCTGTGCTGTGCTCTTGCCTTGTCTTTCTAAGGGAGAGGAGCTGAGGGAACCCATGGAAGTCTGGCCACCTGGACCATACAGAGCACTTGGAGGCTGGCAGAGGGGCACGCTTCAAGCGTCCAGTCTTCCAACTCCACTCAGCTCACACACGTGTAATGAGCAGCTGCCATGTGCCCCCAACTGTGTGCTGTTTGTACAGCACAAAGATAGTGGAGCTGGGACCTCGTAGTGTTGCCATGGCAGTGAGGGAGACGAAGAGATGATCCATTAGAGTATGTCAAAGGCCAGGGAGAAGAGAATGAGGCAGAGAGGGAGCTGGGAATACGGGCCGGGGGCTGAAAACCAATCTTAAGTGGTACCACCACAGTTTTCCTAGAAGAGCCAGCGTCTGTGTAAGGAGGAGAGCTGGGCAGAAGAAATAACACAGGCGAGGTTCCGAAAGGAGCAGGCCTGGTGTGTGGAACAGCAAAGAGCCAGAGTGACCAGAACAGAGCAGGCCAAGTACAGTATGACGGACGGGGCATGATGGGAGACGGGGAGCAAAGGGAGATGCTGAAACAATGAGAGACTGAGCTCAGAAGGAGACGAGCATGGCAGGAGGTGGAATAAGGAGAAGTGACGCATGCTGGGAGATGGGGCATGATGGGAAGTGGGGTACAACAGGAAATGGAACATAACTGGAGGAGGAACAATGGGAGACAGCCCTCAGAAGGAGGTGGAGCATTATGGGAGGTGGAGGGCAACCAGAGGCAGGGCAAAGAGAGGGAGTATGGAACAATGGGAGTTCAGCAAAAGTAAGAGATGGAACATGGCTGTGTGACAGACACGTGTCTACTCACCCTAGAAAAGGGACCCACGACTGACCAAAGTAATGACTGCACCAAGGTCCAATTTGGTGGGTCAGTGAGTCATTATTGGGATCACAGGAGGAGGAGGATGCAGAAAAGCAGCTGCACCTTTAAGGGCACACCCCAACATGAGTGACAGCGGCCACACTGAGCTCTCTGCACAGTGTACAGGCAGCTCCGGGGTCCAGCAAATCTCTGCAGCTCTACTGACCAGTCTCCTTCCCAGAGGGAATCCCCAGGAAAGGACCCCCGAGAATCTTCCAAGTTCCCACTTTCCCAGACATATGACCTTTTGATTCCTGTCTGAACTTTCCCCTTCCCTAGGAACGGTTTCCATTCAAGAGAAGTGGGGCCTGACTGTGCGTGGAGCTCAACGGGAAGTGAAGAGCATGGCATGGGTGGGGGGTGTGGGGTGGAGAGGAGGTGGTCACTGCAGGAGACCACAGGGAGCAGGGGTGGGGAAGGAGGAAGGATGTCTCAACGGAGCATGGAAAGAACCTTGGCTTTCCCTCTGAGTGGGATGAGAGCCCTTGGAGACCTAGGGAGGAAGAGAGACAGTCTGACTCGGGTTTTAACCGAATCCCTCTGCCTGTTGGATTGAGATGACAAAGGACAGAGGCAGAGGAAGCGATCACTGGTGAAGCTCAAAGTGACACCAGCAGAGATGAGGAGAAGTGAAGAGCGGCAGATGGATTTTAAGAAAGAACCTTTATTGTGAAGTGATAACTCTGGGATGCGAGAGAGAGAGAGAGAGTCGGGTCACGGAAGGGTTCCGTGAGAAGTTGAAGGAAGGTGAGGAGCAGGTGGAAGGAGAATAGCAGTGGATTTTCTGGGGACAGGTGATGCTGGCAACGTCTGGCAGGTGGCCAAGGGAAGATAAAGTGTAGGCTGTGGGATCCATGCCCACTCAGCCTCCTGGATGGCAGCAGGGAGGGCCAGCTTGCAGCAGTGACACGTCATACACAGTCACGTGGAGACGGCGATGGGGACTGAGGTCCGAGGCTGCTGGGGGCGTGTGCAGACCACCACAAGAGAAGGGATCATCCTAGCTTCATTACTGTGGTTTTGATAAAATAGCATGATAGAAAGCAGCTTAGGGGGAAAGGAGTTTATTTAAATTTATAGTTCCAGGTTTTACCCATCTTGGTGGGGAAACCAAGGCAAGAACACTGTGTGATCCTGGACAAGCCTCTTAATCTTTAATTCACAGGGGAATTGCTACCCGTCCTAATACTTTGAGCATTGATGACATGCATACTGCATACTGCTTGTAATATTACAGATTTTGCCTGAGAAGTTAAAATTTTTATCGTATTTAGTGTGTGTGTGTGGAGCTTGTGGGGATTTATTCTGAAGATTGAACTTGGGTAGGGGTTGCCAGGCTTGGTACCAAGCCACCTGCTGAGCCATCTCAACAGCCCATGGCTGAGCGGATCATACAGGACTTCCAAACTAGGCAATAGAAAAAAACGTGAGAAGATTCAGCCTGTCTGTATTAGTTACTGCCTTGCCTTTGTACCAAATACCCAAGGAAAGCAGAGCAAGGCAGCAAGGGTGTGGAAAGAGAGGAATGTGAACCACCTGGGGAAGATGCTTGTTTCTGTCTCAAGGTGCCAACACCCCCTTAAATGCTGCACCATCCAGAACATTCCATGTAGAAGGACAGAGTAAGTTGTCTTCTGCCTGATCTGCTTCAGTGCAGGGTGTCTGTAAGGTTGAAAGCCTCATGAAGCTGCCCTGCACTGGCTCTCCTGTCGCCTCTGCATTTTGCTCCGTGGGATTGGCCAGCAGCTGAGCAGATCTAGGCTCTTCCTGGTTCTCAAAGAAACCAGCCGCAGCTGCCTACGTGGAAACGTGAAGGATTTAAAGCTCCTTCCCTAGTGCCTGAGTCTCCTAATGAGCTGTTAGCATCTGACCAAATCCGGCTCCATGGTTGTGATCTGAGGATTTCCAGAAACTGTTTTGGGAGCTGGAAAGTTTCCCAGAGACCCAGAAGTGGGGTTGCATATCCCGAGCCTTCAGCCCCTCCCTATACCTGTGATGTCAGAGCCTATGCTGCACTTGATAAACCTTCCCAAACTAATGGAGAAAAGTCAAGTCAAGAGGGGTACAAAGTGCTGATTAGCCCCAACAGGATCGATTTTACATGTATGTAAAGTGCTTACATCTCCAGTGTGACACTCAGGGGATTTTTGTGTATTATGGGAAAAAAAAACAAAAAACAGAATATTTCTATCACTGTACAAAGTTTCCTGTCCAATCAGTAACACCTCACCTACTAGCTCGATGCCACCACTCACTACTGATGCTGTCCCTCCAGGACGTGTTTACTGAAGCCCCGTCTCCAGCTGGATGCTGTTTGAAGTAGGGAATCCTTGGGAGTAATTAGGTTTAGAAGAGGTCATGAAGGTGGATCTCCAAAATGTGATTCACACTCTTACAAAAAGAGAAAGGGACAAAAACACACCCCCTTCCAACAAGATGCCTTTGATCTACAAACCAGGAGGAGAGCCCTCACCAGGCTCACATCTGCCCACAGCTTGGCCTCTAGTCCACTGCATTTTTGTTACAGCAGCCTGAACTGCCTAAGACACTATTATTCTGACCTTGCTTTAGTCTGGTTTAGTCACACTTCTGTGACAAAATGCCACAGTTTTAGAAGCTAAAACTCAAAGGTCAAAGCTCTGGTCAGCTCAGTTTCCTCAGGTCCGATCCCTTTGCATCTTGCATCTTGCAGAAGGCCCTCTTCTCTCTCCATCCTCACAGGGTATTTTGTCTTAATTGATTTTCTGTTGCTGTTTTAAAACACCGTGACAGAAACAGCTCAGGGAAAGAAGGGTTTGGCTCTCAGTTCCAGGGAACAGTCAGCCCGCTATGGCAGGGACAGCGTGGGAATAGGAGCATGGGGCAGATGGCCACATTACAGATGTAGTCAGACGCAGAGGGGGGAGGAATGGGTGCTGCTGTCCAGGGAATGACACTATCCACAGTGGACAGGTCTTCTCTCTAATAGCCTAATCAAGACATATCCTCACAGGGATGTCCAGAGGCCCGGATTCTCCGAGGGTCTAGTGGATAACTGAGAGTAACCGTCATGATCGTGACGGAAGAGTAAGGTTCCCTGTGGGCTTCCTAGTTTCCTTTAATAAGGACACCAATGCCATCGGATCAGGGTGCCATCCTTGTGGTATCTGTTACTTCAATTACTCCTTTAGAAGCTGGAGGTTTGAGTTTCACTGGAGTCTGGGTTTCACAGATGAATTTGGAGGTGAACATTCATCCATTCCACAACAGGCCTCGAGTACCTGGGTTAGCATCAGCGGCTCTAAAGCTCGGTGCAAATGGAAGCCTGCAGTCTGTTTTCTTGTCAGGTCGGGTTTCTCTCTCCACTCAATGGAATTATGTTTGAGAGTCATCTGTGTTGTTGCGTGGGTACAATGTCAGTGGTTCATTCGCTTTTTTAAGCAGAGAAGTATTCTAGTGTGCTAACCATACTTTGTTTATCCATTCATCTACTGAGGATCATTTTGGGTTGGCTCCAGATTGCCAAAAGCCATTTATTCAGTGTTGTGCACTACGTTAGCAGTCAGACTATAAAGAAATGTGAAGTATGATCCATTAGCAATGTGTGACCTTGCAAAACCACCAAGAAGGCACCAACACACAAAGTAAAGTATGGCTGAGTCGTGGAACAGAGTTGAAGTCAGGACTCAGAGGAAAGTCATGCTTTTGGGAGCGCTGGTAAGGCTTGTTTGCAAATACTTGCACTTAGAAAATGAATAAGCAAAAAAAAAAAAAAAAAAAGTATCAGCTTCCATGGAAAAGAAAGTGGTGCCAAGGGTGGCGGGAGTCAGCAGGTGCTAACCGGCTGCCCGGCTGCGCGGCACCTCCGGGAAACCTCATAAAGGTTTCGTCGCCTGTGTTCTAGGCCAAAGAGCTGCAGAGTGTCGGAGAAGGGTGAAAACAGGCCCCTTAGATTGAAGCTGGCTCAGACTTTGTTTTTGTGGTTTCTTCCAAGAGGGTGGGGAGGGAAAGGTCTGCTCTCCACAGAACAGCCAGACTCCGTGGAGCTCCTGGTGGGAGGAGGCTCTAGGCCAGCTCAGACACAGATACTCTGAGTGCACGGGAGGCAGCCGAGCGAAGAACAGAAGTCTAGGGTCCCAGTTAGGGGTCTGAGGACTGCATACTCACCACTCTGACCCAATGGTGTGTTGGAGTCAACTAAATAAGATCTTTGGTACTGGGATTGGTGCTATGAAGTCAGGAGTGGGCAGAAGAAACTCATGGTTGTTCCCCAAACACCTGCCCAAGAACCTGTGCACAGTAATATTAACGTTCCCATTCCTGGTTCTAGCGGTTGAGGTCTCCTGTGTCCTCATAAGCCTTCAGAAATGCCACTGCCCCAAATCCTCCCATCATGACAGGGTCCAGGCTTTCCTTGCCGCTATGGTTACCCAGCACCCCAGAGTCAGAGTGACATCAGAGCTCCAGAGGGGAGGGCTGAAGGGCATAGGGAGCATGGGGGGGGGGGGACCGTTCAGGACCACATGGATCATAATTGTTCATAACTGTTACCACATTAGAATCATGTGCTCCAGCTTTAAGCTTTCATTTTTAATATTTTTCATTGAAATGATGAGTTGTATTAAAAAAACATCAAGAAAACTTCCACACAATCAGTCCTAGCAGATAAGCTCTTCTGCTTCTCATAGTAATATGACACTTTGATGAAGCTCCAGCATTTTCTGTGTGGCTGTAGTTGTCTCTATGATGGCTGTATCTTTTGTTTCACAGTACTAAATGCTACAATATGTTAATTACACTATAATAATACTAAGAAGTGCCATAATTTTCCATTATTTTCATTGTTAGATATCATATTTATTCAGAGTTTGCTACAATCTATAATTCCAAGATTGATTTCTTAGTTTTTCATTCCATACCTGGGGAAGGGTCATTCTTTCCCTGTGGACCTGCTAGTTTGATTTGATTTTTGATATGGAGTCTCAGTATCTAGCACACACTGACCTCAAACTTCCAGTCTTCCTGTGTCTGCCCTCTCTGTGCTAGGATTACAGGACCTGCCCGCGACACCTACCCCAGAGCTGCATTTCTGAGAGTGGAAAAGAACCCAACAATTACCATAGAGAAGAACGGTCCAAGTCTTCTCAGATAAATCAAACACAAGCGTACATAAATAAAAGATGTCTTAAACTTTTTGAATGAGGAAGTAGTAATTGAACGAGAAGGTCAATGTTTGTTAAGATTATCAATGAAAATCACACAACTTTTCAAATCCCCCCCCACCCCCCCAATGTTTAGACTTTTCCTGAAGACTCAGAGACCTGGAGAGGAGACTTTGTCATAACATCACTTGTCCCTGTCTTCCCAGGATTTCCTGCATTGGAAAATGAGATGTTTATTATCTCAGGAATCTCAGAGTCCCAGGAGACTGTGACCCCCGAGGCAGTGTGAGCTGCTGACAGTAGGTGCAAGGAAGAGAAATGTGTTCTCACGGGCTGGACGATCGAGATGCCAGGATGAGCAGTTTCCCAAGAACACCTCCCCCCGGCTTGTAGATAGCCACCTTGCCACTCGGTCCTCACAGTGAGGTGAGGAGTATAAGGGGGAGACAGAGGAGAGATGAGAAAGGGATGAGAGAAGGGGAGCGGGGAGAAAGCTGGAGAACACTCATTCTGCCTTCTCTTTCAAGAGCATACTATTCCCATTGTGAGAGCTTGGCATACAATTCCATCTAATCTCAGTATCTCCCCGAGGTGCAGTCCCAAGCACAGTCACCACGGACATTAGGGCTGAACACATGAAGTTTGGTGTAGCTCAGTGGACAGCAGCTGGTCTCTCTAAACCCAACCGCACTTTTGTCTTGAAACCCTTCCGGCTCCTAGGTATCTCTCCCTCTATGTGTCCCTCACAAACACCCTCTTGACTTGGAAGCCCAAGTCTCACACAGGATTTGTTTTTCCACGTGTGCTTCATTCTGGAACAGAAGTGAGTAGAACTTCTGCATTTCTGTTTTCCAGGGAGGGATGTTTTCAGGCTTCTAAGGAGACAAGAATGGGATGCCTGTTTTCATGGACCAGAAATGAATCACGCCTGTTCTTTCAGAATTATAGGCTCTGGAAAGAAGTGACAGGAAGAAAATGTTCTGAAGTGGAGACTTTTGAGTGGAGAGCTGGCTTCAAAAAAAAAAAAAAAATGGATTGAGCATCGTGGGGTTCCTGAAGGACAACAGACCTGCCAGGCTCATTTGTACCTGGACACTGCTTCCAAATTATTTCTTTAGTGTTCCGTCCCATTCTAGGGTCTTCAGAAGAAAAGGCCAATGGCCAAAGAGAAGGAAGGAAGGAGAGTGCCATATATATTTATCTCCATGAGGGGTTTCTGAACTCACTCAGGGCTACAGGCAGCAGCTCCAAAGGTGAAGCTGTCAATTTCCATGGAGATGGAATGTATTACTCAGAGAAAAGAGGTACCAAATATTATTCAGTCTGGTGAAAGGTAAAAACTCTTTTTAAAAAATAAAAACACTTTATGTTCCTGTAAAAAAAAAACAACATTTTTTCAGAGATGAAAGATTTGATTTCAACTGATGAGTCATCCCTGTGGTTTTTCTCCCCCACTTAGCCAAAAAGTGAGGTTTTTAAAAACATGTCTTGTGACAAATTCTTCCCTTGCTTAGCTTGCCATCCTCTGAGAGACAAGGCCCCATGGTCACTGTGAACCTCAGTGGCTGCCCGAGTTCACATGAAAGACTTTGGGAGGCAAGACTCATAGCTGTCAAGGTTCGTTGTGAGAAAGTAGCCTTAATTTAATAGCCATGATCTAAAAGCAAAATGAGAAATGGGAAATGAAACCTAAAGCATGAATTCCAATGACCATTGAGTGTGTTTGGAAGTGACACCCGCGGGCTGAAGGGGTGGGTGCTGCAAAGGGTTTGCCTGACCAAGGCAAAGACCTGCATGGAACCCCCGGAAACTGTGAAGAACAATGCCGGGTGTGGCAGTAAGCACTGCTAATCCCAGCAGCCAGGACCTGGAGGCAGGGGGATCCCTAGGGCTTGCTGGACACCCAGCCTAGCCTATTTGCCAAGTCCCAGGCAAGTGAGAGACTCTGGCTCAGCCAATCAATGAATCAACCAACCAAAAAGGTGAACAGTCCCTGAGAAATGACCCCAAAGATTATCCCTTGGCCTCTACATGCACATGCAGAAATGTACCCCATCCCCCCAAAAGACACAATGAGTGCACGTCTGTAATCCTAGCTCTTGGAAAGCTGAGGCAGGAGGGACTCAGATTTGAAGTCAGTCTGGGCTCTATAGTGAGATCTTGTCTTAAAAAGCAAACAGCACAGCAAATGTCAGAAAGATAAAAAAAAAAAAAAAAAAAAAAAAAAAAAGAGAGCTCCGTGCTCTTGATTGAGTGGGCGCCATAGTCCTACTATCAAGACATCTATGACTCCTCTGCATACAATGGCTGGGCTGTTCTGACTGCCTGGGTGACATGTGACAGCAACGACAGTACAGATTTTCAACTAATTAGGAAAGGCCATGCAGGTTCTTCTAGTCTGTGTTGGGATACTCTCTTAGAAAGTCACCAGACACCTCATGACAAGTCTGACCACATAAAAACTGCCACGCTGGACAACTCCACTGAGGGAACATACAGAGACAGAGAGCCAGATCAAGGGGGAGGAGGAGAGTCGGAGGGGGTCTTGGTCCTGCCTCAGTCAGGTGATGGGACAGACTTAGTTGACTTCCCAGGGTAGGCCTTACCCTCACTGAGGAGTGGATGGGGGAGGGGTGGGGTAAAGGTAGGGGGAGGAGTGGAGGAGGGAGGGGGAACTGGAATTGGTATGTAAAAACAATAAATAAGTGTTAAAAAATAAAAAAGACACAGAGATAGCACAAGAAGGATTGGGAGATAGAGACAGAGAGAACAAAGAGGGGGAGGGGAGAGAAGGAAAGACAGAAATGTAACACGAGGGCCAGGCTTGTCAGGTTTTCTGTCCTGCCCAGTTCCCACAGCCAGCAAGTCCCAAAGAAAATCACACAGAGGTCTCCGTAAGTTATAAACTGGTTGGCCCATTAGCTCAGGCTTCTTATTAGCTCCTGTAGCTTATATTAACCCATTATTCTTAACTATATTAGCCACATGGCTCAGTACCTTTTTCAGCGGGGCCGATCACATCCTGCTTCTTTGGTGGTCTGGGCAGGACTGCAAAAAAAAAAAAAGCTTCCTTCTTCCCAGAATACTCCCATTCTCACTGTGCCACCTCTACTTCCTGTCTGGGTTTCCTGCCTATACTTCCTGCCTGGCTACTGACCAATCAGCATTTATTTAAAACATAATTGACAGATATAGAATTGTTCTCCAGCACCACAGAGAACTAAAAAGAGAGGGAGAGGAAAGAGGGAAAGACAGACAGAGAGAAACAGAGATACATGAATAGTCCAGCTGTTCTAGCCTCATCTCCAAGTTACAAACATACAAATGAGGAAAGCTTTGAGGTGATGTCTTACTTAGCCCCCGCCTGTATAAGAGACCTGAAAGAGCCGAGTCCACCAGCAGCACCAGTTTGAGCTGGTTGCCATACGACAGCAGCTAACCTACAGACTAAGAGTATGTTGATTAAGCATGATATGACATGACAATACTCTGCAGGTCCCCACTGGACACTTTGAAGTTGTTACATGTTTTTAAATCATAAACCTTGATCAGTGTTTGCAGCTACATGGGCTTCCTTACAGTTATTTCTACAGCTAAGCACCTTCTGAGCCTGTACCCACTATCTGGAATGTTCCTTTGCTTCACCGTTTCTTCCTCCTTCATCTTGGTAACTTCCTACCCACTCTCCAGGACCCTGCACTGCTCAGCTCCTTCTCCTGAAGTCTTAAGTTTCTCATGGACATTTGTAAGAGATTTTCTCAAAATCACCACAGATGTATTTTTGATCCTACATGCTGTTCCCTACTTGGCCACTGTCTTACCAACTTTGGAACTTCATGAGTGTATTATTGATAGATTAGGGCAGTAGTGACATTGTGTGACTGAGTTTAGATCACAAAGTGATCTGGCTCGTATCCCAATCCCCAGTACACCTACCTTGGGAACTCCATCATCATATTGTTGGGAAGTTCAGGTCAGAAATGGGCCTATAGGTGTTTCATAAAATATCTCCCATGGACCCAGAAGACAGCCACTATCAATTGCCAGACAAGTGAGATCATCCTCAGCTGAGTCCAGAAACTATCTATATAACACTCCGGCCACTGTCCTACAGAGAAGGATGAGCTGTCCCTCCCAAGTGATCTTCAATACTATGTGGTCTTAGTGACATTGTTTTAAGGCTAAATTTAAGGGGTGCTAGGGAGGTGGCTCAGTTGGTAAAATGTCCTGCCTCAGAAACATGAGGGATTTTGTAGTGATGCAATCTTGGTAGTGGAGGGTATAGAAGGGAAGTAGAGACAGATTCTTGGATCTTATTGGTCAACCAGCCTAGCTTTAGGTTCAGTGAGAAACTCTAAAGAATTAATGAAGTAGAAAACAATAGATGAAGACATTCAGTATTGACCTTTGGTTTCTATACATATGGATACATGTACACACAAGCTGTGTGCTCACATGCACATATACAAGATTAATTTAATTTAAATAACTAATAAAATGTAAATTCTATGCAAATAGTTGTTATACTATATTATTTATGGAACAATGACAATGATAAGAATGTTTACATATTTAGTACAGATGTAGTTTCCCCCTAAATCTTAAAAATCATCTATCTATCTATCTATCTATCTATCTATCTATCTATCTATCTATCCATCCATCTATCCATTCATCATCTATCTATCCATCCATCTATCCATTCATCATCTATCTATCTATCTATCTATCTATCTATCTATCAATGTGTACACATGCTACAGAGCACATGAGGAGGTCAAATAACAGCTTGGGAGAAAAGGTTCTCTCCTTCTACCATGTATGTTCTGAGAATTGAGCTCAGTGCCTTTATCAACTGAGCCATCTGGTTGACCCTCTTGAACAGCTTGAACAGTTTGGTTGGATGCACAGAGGTGAAAATTGTGTGCCTTAGTGCAAGTAGTACTTTGCTTCGACTTCTTAAAATTGTACCAGCTAAAACTATATAAATTAGTTTAGTGAATTTCTCCCTGTCTGTTTGTAGTTTGAAGGTACAGAGCACCATGAAAGCCAGGTCATTAAGTGCCTTTTCATGGTATTTCATGCACTTGACTCTAGTTACTGCACAGAAGTGTCATATACGTGTATATGTACATATAATGTACATATTCAGTAGCTTCCTTCCAACTTACACTGCTCAGAGTTTCCTTGCTCAGGGGAATTATGCCTCCCACAGTTGGCAGATCTTGCTGCATATATGGAATGAATAAATAAAATATAGAACAGCCTAAAAATAGTACATGGGTAAATCATCCAAGTGCCCAAAGATAGGAGCAAATCATTTTGACTATGGAAGGATGAGGGATGACACAGCTCAAGATGCTGAGCCAGAGGGATTACCATAAAACCCAGCCTGCTCTGCATAGTGTGCTCTAAACCAGCCTGAACTACGATATGAGAACTGTCCCATGTAGGCTAGAAAGAGGGCTCAGGACTTAAGAGCACTGGCGGCTTTGCCAGAGGACCCAGACCCAACTCCTGGCATACACATGGTGGCTAGTAACAAACACCTGTAGCTCCAGTTCCAGGGGATCTGAAGCCCTCTCGGGCCTCTGTGGGCACTGGATGTACATGGCATATTTATATGCAAACAAAACACCCTTACACATTAAAAAAAAATCAAAGCAGTGAGAGAGACATAAAGAAAAGGAAACACGAGGGAAGAAATTTCACATTGTAAGATGTCCATGGAGTTTACAAACCGGGTTGTGGTTTGTTTTGCGTTTTTACCAGCCCATTGTAGTACACCTGCTTTAAATGCTAGTTTGGCCGTATCCAATCACTCTAGAGTAGTCACAGCACTGTCGTAATAAAAGCCGTTTATCATCTTTTGGGCCCTTTTGTATTCAGTGTAAGTTCTTGGTTCCAGAAACTGTCTTTATTTGTGTATCTGTAAAGGATAGAAGCATAATTGAACATGCAAATAAAAATTACCCTCAGGGGTGGGGATTCTTCTGGGAGGGCAAGTTAAACTACACAGAGGAAAACATGTTTGGAGAAAAACATGTTTAAAGCCAGGCGGGGCTCAAGGAGCTGATAAGTGCTATTGCAAAACACTCAACTGTTGTTTTCCAAGAACATGTGGGAGACTGTGGAGGGGGCTGCCACAGTGTCCATCCTTCCAAAAGGAAACAAGTTCTGAAGAAAGGAGAAAAACAGAACAAAATACCAATTTATCAGTTTACAAACTCCAGACAGAACTAGGTCCTGAGCAACCAGTTTGGCTAAGAGAGAATGAATTTAGGGCCAAGACCAGCTGAAGACCTGTGGGAAGGAGGAGGTGTCCAC